AGAACTCTCTTATGCAATTTTATCAACAACTCTAGACATTATGATTGACTTCTTTCTTTTTCTAGTTCACTATTTGATTCTTCTAAAAATTGATTAATAAGAATTAATGCCTCTTGTTATCTGTGATTTAAAACATTTTGTCTTGATTAACTCATCTGACATTACTAAAAGAGAATGAGAAGTTTTGTATAGTTTGTTACTTCCAAGAACCTGTTTTATCTTCTCTCAATTTTTATTCAAAATGCTTGTTCTTATTCATTTTTCTTAAACCACATTTTGACCACTTGTACCTAGTCTACTTAAACTAGCCTAACTACAGTGAATAAAAAATCATTGGTTCTTACACTCATTTTTCGAGAGCCTTTCCCAACAAAGAGTCCCTTCCTTTTTTGGCCCTCAATCCTATTACGCGCCTGAGTTCTCAATTTCAACACTATGGGCAATTCTTCCTTCCTGGAATATTGACCCTGGTAGATTTCCATGCAGTTAATGGCTGGACAAATCTTTTTTGGGCATCAAATTATCTTTACCACAAAGCTGTTTAATTGGAGAGGCCAACCAATAGCCCTTTTACACAATTTGCAGTTTGAGTTCAGATCAACAAGACATTATTCTACAATGCTTGTGTTACTGTATGGAAAGGGCCATCTTGTTTGTGCAGGCTTAGAGTCACGGGATGCTCAGGTTAAAGCAAGGGTTTTTTTCAAGTGGTAAGTGTATAGCCTCCCATTCACTAAATGTACAAAAGTATCATTTCAAATTTCAAGTGCATGGCTTATTATTCATGTGCGAACACACATGCATAACCCAGGGCCAAAGAAAGTCACCAATTCAACCCTCATTTGTTAGCATAAAGTAGCTTCCTCTGCACAGATCCTTTGTCCCACCATTCTAAATCCAATTAAATTCCTCAACTTTGCCATTCTAAATCCAATTAAATTCCTCAACGTTTCCTCCCCATACCCTGCTCTAATTGTTTGCAAAACAGCTCAACAGCTCAATGATTCCTTACCATTTAACATAAATCACTTACTTAATCAGCTTGGTCAAATCCTCCTCAGTACATCAACCATCTTTGATCAACTTAATCTAAATCCAGATCTGGATATCTATGCCTGTTGTCCAGATTGCTTAAGCCTGGTAGGATTAGAAAGAGAAACAAATGATGCAAACATTACCTGTCATAGGAATCTACAAACATATTATCTTGATGGCCCATGCCATAGCTAAATTGGAAAGATGAAAATATCAACAAACATCAAAGATAAATCAAGAGAGGCTCAAGAGTCCAAATTTGAGGCAATCAAACATTTGGTTTACAAAACTTTCAAGAGTTGGTTGGAAAGATTTCTACAACAGCCTGGAATTGATGAAGATATTTCCATTTATCTTCAAAGAGGATCAAGACCAATAATGGATGTCTTCCCATTGCGGTTTAGAACCCTCCCAGAATTGAATTTACACCCCCTAGATCTTAATTTATGGTATAAAGAATTGTTTTTTCGCAAGCCTGGTGAAGATAACTGTCACGTGAGCTGGTTGGAATTATGATTGGGGTGCTAATTTGAGACTGGGGAAGGCTTAAAAAGCACTCTAAATGGCGATGGGAAGTCCTCCAATGACAAAGTCAACCATTTTCATCAAAAGCTTATATGTTGACTGGCTCATCTTGGAACTTTGATCCTTGTTTTCTTGAACCTCCTACCTGAGAGGCACCTAAATCCTGAAAATGTCTATGTTGCTGGGATACTGCCTGGACCAAAGGAGCCAGCAGAAATTCAATTAAATAACCTGCTATTACCACTTATTCAAGAGCTGAAGGAATTGTGGGAGGGATTTTACTTTTCCCAAACATTTAAATTTCCACAAGGAACCAAAAAACGGGTTACCATGTTGACAGTCATTCATGCTGATCTCCCAGCAATCCGTAAAATTGCTGGATTCAAAAGCCATTCTGGAACAATGTTTTGTAATTTTTGCACTATTTCCAAAGAAGATATGAATACAATCCAGCCTTTTTTGTGGAGATCAAGAAACCTCAGAGAACAAAAAGAAAATGTTGCCAGATGGTTGAATGCTACCTCAAATACAGTGTGATCAACTTTTCAGAGACTGGTACATGCTACTCAATACTTGAGGAACTTCCTTACTGGGATCCAACACACATGATTGATCAATCTTGACATAATTCACACTATGATTCTGGTAGCATTGAAAGACCACGCAGAGAGTATACTGCACATTGCAGAGAAAGATTGGAAGGATCATCCTAAAAAATCCAAAATCTGAGATGGTGAAAGCTCTGGAAACTCTGATACTGAAGAGGAACTTTTTTACCATTACATTGAGAAAGTTATTGATTTAAGAGCTGCAAGCATTTTGCGTAGAGAAGCAGCAGCTGATCTTCATAATCTTTCTGCAAAAAGGGTTTCACAAAATTGATGGTGGGTCAGTTACGCTGACCATAGTGTTAGCCTTTTGAGCTATCCTACAAAAAAGTTACTGTTAGCAAACCTTTTGGCCCACTAACACTACAGGATTTCCAAAAAAAAAAATGGCATAGTGTTAGCTGACTAAGAAAAAAACGACTAACAATAACCAAATCACTTGTTAGCAGATTTTTAGTGTGGTTAGTGGGCTGAAAAGTTACACTAACTGTTAGTGTAACTTTTTGATAAGGTTACACTGATAGTTAGTGTAATGATCTCCTCAGTTACACTAATAGTTAGCATAACTGATCAAAAAGTTACACTAACTGTAAGCGTAGCTGATTATTCAGTTATAATAATATGTGTAGGGGGCTCAGATAAGATGGAAAATAGTCACCAAAAAAGATCAACTGAAAATCCAGATTTTTTTTCTGGCTAAGTATGGTTAGGAGTAAATAATAAAAAGAGAAACTAACAGTAAGAATTTTTTTATGGCTAAGCATGATCGGGCATGAGTGATAAAAAAGGATAGTCAAAGGTGTCAAAAAACACAGATGGAAAAGATTTTACTGTTTCGTTTGAACAAAATCCATGTAAGATCTAACAACTGTTTGTGCTTTTGTATAGTCTCCAGAAACTTGAATACCTTCTTTCAACCCCACCTTTCAATTTTTTGTGGTTCTAATGATCCACCGCCAGTTGAACAAACATCAGCAGCTGAGAAGAAGGTACACTCAACTGCTTATGAGGACGCAGAGGATGCTTAGTAGTCCTTGGCTAATGATGCAAGAGCAGGGTAGGTGGATGCATGATCCTGAAAGAATAAAAAAAATAAAAAATCATGATGAGATCAATAACCAAATGCAAGTGATAAACAAAGAGAAATTCATACCTTCCACCATAACAAAAGGGTTTTGGGAAAGTTTGTAGGTATTCCTTGGAGACAATCCATGTTGTTGATATATACCTTGAGCTTTTTGTTTTCTTCATTTGATTTTCCAGGGCACCAGACATTTCAAAAATGTTATCTTCTTCAACCGGAGGAGTATTATTTTCTACAACTTGAATATCATCTTCCTTTCTCTTCTTCAAAACTTCCACACACTTTGCAAATTCTTTCTCCAAGAGGTTTTTGGCCGTGTCCACGTTTTCAGGCCAGCAATGGTTGAATATCCTTAATCAGAATGACGGGCGGAGGAAGGTGGCCATAATGAGAGTTTGACACTCAAGTGCCTTGTCTTGGTAGATCTTGAGTTTCTTGATCATTTTAACGTATAATGGATGCATTGTGTGTCCTCTTTCTTCTTCAAAGTTAAGAGAGTGTGGTAATAGTTTGGCAAGACAAAAGCCTGTAGGACCATCACCCTCCATAATTTTGGTCAGACAGTTAAAAGGCTGAAAAATAAAATTTAGCATTGTAACTAGGATCTGGATATATTAGTATTACACAAACTACTTCCTTCCAACTCTTTATTCAATTCATTAATTGTCGCCCATTCCTTCCTTGTGAACTGAATTTCCTTGAAGTGACCAAGCTTCTTGGGATTTTCCTTGCAACTGGATTTGGTTCTTTGATCTTTATATTTTTTGTACTCATCAAGTAGTATTGAATCAATAAATTACATTAGAAAATATTAGTAAATGTATCTTGTAGAAACAGAATAAATAACATGGATCTCTGGGTTCATAGGCACAATTTTGATTTTTGTATTCCATATTCCAACAAATTCCATAACCAGCAATCAAGTTCTTCAAATCTTTACTGGCTGCCCTTTGCTCAAATTCTTGTCTCCAGACGCAAGAGCCAGTGATTTTTTACCACAAAGTCCAACTATGCATGTAATTTGATTGGTCAGTATGTGCAAAGACACAAGAGATAAAAAGACTCAAGGCTGTAGTCTTTTCCATCTTTTTTTCTGTCCTTCTTCCCATCCTTTTTTCTGTCCTTCTTCCTGTCCTTTTTCCCATTTTCTCCTTCCTCCTCAGTGTCATTGTCATGTGAGTTCTCCTTTTCATCATCTGTACAATCACTTCTTCCACCATTTGAATCATCATCTTCATCATCACATTCATTACCATTTTTGTCCTCCTTGGTTATCTTCGGCATCCTATTGGAGTAGATTCAAGACCCAATTCCTTCAAACCAGGATTCACAACAAAAGCCATTTTATGACAAAAACACTTAATAGGGGGTATCAAATAAAGGAGATCCACCATTAATGCAAACCAGTCACTTTTCCCAAAACATTTTTTTGCATCAATGGGCCCCAAAAGGGGTTAAATTATCAACTAATATGTTTAAAAAAGGGTTGATTTTTTCAAACCAGTCAATTAAATAAGGGTGGATTTGGTTATATTTGATACCCCCTAATGTGCATTGCCTTGGGGTCCCATTTAAAATCTGTGTTTTCTCCCAAATCAAGCAGTTTTTCATGCATGGATTCAGCCATGGTCATGTTATTTGATCCAGGATTGGTGGTCTGACAAAGCATGTATATATTAGAAGAAGAAAAATTAGTTTTGGCCTTTGATTATGAAAATGGATTACCAGTTGAGATTACTTATCTTATTAGGGGGTATCAAATATAAGAAATTTGAAAAATTAAATCTCCATTTACTCTTGAACTAAAAGATTTTTTTGCAAGGTGTGCTGTGATGAATTTGGAAGGCAAACATGTGCTTCTTTCCAAAATACATCCATCAAAAAAGGTGGTTTGATTTAACAGATAATGAGGTTTTAAGATTTCAAATTTCCATATTTGATACCCCTTATTGCAGAGTTGATGCTTCTTCAGGGGGTATCAAATATAACCAAATCCACCATTAATCAATTGACTGGTTTGAAAAAATCCACCCTTTTTTAAACATGTTAGTTATCCATTTAACCCCTTTTGGGGCCCATTTATGCAAAAAACGTTTTTTGGAAAAGTGACTGGTTTCTGATGGTGGATTTCCTATATTTGATACCCCCCCAATGTGTAATGTATATTTACTGTATCTATAAAGTAATTTCTGTTCTGTAACTGTGAATATACTTATGAGCTGATAACTCGAGAAACTATAAGAGATAATGAAAAGCTGTAAGAGGTAACTATGGAAGAAACAATATGTAGAACCTGAATATGAAATAATACTGGGCAGATCTATGTAGAAATGATGTGAAAAATGAGGATACATGGAGAGGTATGGACATACCACATTAGCACAGTGTCAATTATGCCCACTCATTGACTGGGATGGTTGTCGCCAAACAAGCTTATGATAGGGGGTTTCAAAGTTGATTTTTGAACAATGTTGTACACTACATCATGAATTTCACAGAAGTTTTGATAAGTGTTCCAAACAAAGAGCAATTGTAAGTTTCAGGAATCTAAAATTTTGAACCTCTTGGAATTTGTGCAGAATCCGGTTCAAAAATCAGCTTTGAATCCCACTAATGCATCCAAGTTTCCTGATTCCCCCGTGTTAAACTATGGAAGTAATTGTCTACATGATATAAAAACACTAGCTGCATCAGGTTTGGTAACAATGATCCCCTATTAAAGATTATTGACAAGGAATTTTTGGCAAAAAAGCTGACATAGTGTTTTAAGGAAGGGCATTTCTCTGATTACCAACTTTGATATTGAATTATCATCATGTGATACCTTGTTATATTTTTATTTTTGTGTCCTGAATTGGCCAAAATAACTCTCAACTCTCCAATAAACAGTCTTCAACACTCTTTGATTGTTTGATTGCGCATAGGAATAAAAAAAGTGAAAAGAAAAGCACAGACAACAAGGCCTTGGTACAAGTAATAGAACTGATCTTCAAAGTACTTTGCCACACTGTTGTATCTATCTGCCTTGTTGGTACACAACACAGGTATCCTTCAAGGATAAGTTGATTTGAGCATACATGTCAAGCCGTGTAAAACTGGGGCTTTGACTCAAAGGTAATACAGTGCCTGTATTTATCAGCCTGCCAGATTAATGTGACAACAACAAACTTGTCATCAAAACTGTTGCCAAACTTGTGGTCAAGAAAAATGAAGAGATCAGACCTAATATCATAGGAGTTGTGATTGGTTGCCAATGAAAACCATCCTTAGTGTGAGTAGGAAGGAGCAGCAATACACAG